CTAAATTTTATTGATATATTTTTTTTTTTTTAAAAGTAAAATTTATATTGAATATCAAACACAGAAATATATTACATGTGTATAAAAATTTGATGTATATATAAATAAATTGGATAATAATAAAAACTTAAAAAAAAAAACAAAACTATATTTATTTATATTCGTGCATAAGAAGAAAATCCTATTTTTTTTTTCTTTGCTTTATCAAGAGTTACTGATCAAATTAAACAAAGCATCAGTGCTTAGGCATAATGTTATTCGTTTAATAACTTCAAAAAAAATATATTTAAATTCATTTAGTTTTTTTTTACTCTTTGAACAACAAAAAAAATTATTATTAAAAAATCAAAAAAATAAAAAAAATTGAAAGTACTGGATATTTTTTTTTTCTCCGTTTTAGTCAGCACGGCGGGTACCCGTTACAATAGGGATGCGTTATTCACATACAGCTACAAATACCTGTGCATTCCGGATTACCGCAAAATTACTGTTCTCTTTCTTATCCTTGCAACCTCCAACTTTCCTCTTACCTGATTTCTTCCTGGTAACTCGTTCTGGCTTTGGGGTCTTTGGTTTATAACTGTGGCTGCACTTCATATATAGTCTTATCACATTTCTAAGCCCATTAGATTCTGGCCGTCTTTTTTTATTATTCCGAGACTTAAGCTCGTTTATGTGGTTGAGTATTTAATGCACACAAAAAGCAATGATTTATAGTTCGAAGAAAATTATCGTTTTTTTTTCAAAAAAAAACTTTAACGATCATTTACTAAAATTTTTAATACACTCCTAAGTCTCTGGCTTCACAAAAATCAGTCCACTTCTTCATCGGTATTAGCCTTTTATATCCTAATTGCTCCTAACTGACAACTTTCGAGAACGTTCCTAGTCCTGTTAATTTGATATTTGGCGCCGAAGTTTTTCTAAAACTTTTCATCACTATCCGGTTACAAAATTTTCCCCTTATGTATCTGCTTTGGTTTTATTTTATTTTCTTTTGCAAGCAAAGATGTATGAACTTTATAAAAAGCTCATCTTTCACTTTCACTTTTCATTTTATTTTCTTTTGCAAGCAAAGTTGTATGAACTTATAAAAAGCTCATCTTTCACTTTTACGCAAAACTAGCATTTATCTTTTACCACTATTCTGGTTTGCTTATTCCTGCTTGGTAACACCTCGTTCTCTCAGTAGTTTGAACTTGGTGCAGCTTTCACTGGAATTCGCCTGGCTTGCACTGATCAAAACAACACAAAAACAAGACGAAAGCAGATGCAAAAACTTTTACTTATTTTCGGTTTATCAACGTGCGAGCAATGCACGTTGAATTTATTTGTTTACAAAGAAATGATGTGATGTTTTTGTGTTAAATTATTTAAGTGTTTTTCATTTTAATTTTTGTTTAATTTTAAAGTTTTAATTTTTCTTTTAAAAAAAATTATTGTAATAAATAAGTGTAATAAATTACAAATACAATTAATGTATTGAAGTATGTCGAAAACAAGAATGAACTTGGCAGCGAGTGCTGACCCAAATTAAATTGCAGTGCAATCAAAGTTGGATGCCGAATTTCGACGCTTCAGTTTTAAACGACATGCAGAACTACAAACATTTGAAGACTTTTCTGCCTTAATTGAGCAACAACATAAAGAGGAGATCAGCGACGGGTATAGAGTTCAATAGACATCGCGGGAATTCCGAGGTAATGTCGTGAATGTTTATTTGCTTCTTGTGGTATTAATTTGTTACTTTTCTCACAGGCCTACATAACACGTGTGCTAACTAATATATCGTACATTTATACATATATACTACATATATGTTATCGTATGTGTTCGTGATTGGCTTTATATTTTTCTATTATTAATTTGGAATATTTTTTTATTTATTTTTTGGTCGCAGTTGACAACCCTTTTTTATTATAAAATACTATGAAATTAAAAATAAAATTAGTCTCTTGTAAAAGTTCAAACGAGTCGGTCTTTCTTTAAAAACTTCGTTTTGTTTCCTAGTTTTGTTGTCGTTAGTGGTTTCAAAAACTCTTGAGGCCCCAACATTTTGGTGACCCCGACGTGATCACGTTGATCACTTTAGTGTTTTCTTTTTTATATTTTCAAAACATTTATTGTATTGAAAATTGCACGATTTGGTTGCGAATTTTTGTTGTCGTTTATTTGAACATTACAGTTTTGGTTTGCGGCATTACAGCTGCGTCGGCAGCGCCGCATCAACCAATTTTTTACATGTTTCGGTTGCATCATTTTATAAAAAAAAAGGAAAAACTTGTGCAAAACTTTAGTGTTTTTTTTTATATTTTCAAAACATTTATTGTATTGAAAATTGCATGATTCGGTTGCGAATTTTTGTGTGCATTTATTTGAACTTTACAGTTTTGGTTTGCGGCATTACAGCTGCGTCGGCAGCGCCGCATCAACCAATTTTTTACTTGTTTCGGTTGCATCATTTTGCGCAAAAAGAAAAAACTCGTGCGATTCGGTTGCGAATTTTTGTGCGGGTTTATTTGAACAGTTGGTTTGCGGTACTTCATTTGCGTCGGCAGCGCCGCATCAACCAATTTTTTACAAAACAGAATTGCACGATTCGGTTGCGAAGTTTTGTGTGCGTTTATTTGAACATTACAGTTTTGGTTTTCGGCATTACAGCTGCGTCGGCAGCGCCGCATCAACCAATTTTTTACTTGTTCGGTTGCATCATTTTATAAAAAAAAAGGAAAAACTTGTGCAAAACTTTAGTGTTTTTTTTTTTATATTTTCAAAACATTTATTGTATTGAAAATTGCGCGATTCGGTTGCGAATTTTTGTGTGCGTTTATTTGAACATTATAGTTTTGGTTTGAGACATTACAGCTGCGTCGGCAGCGCCGCATCAACCAATTTTTTACTTGTTTCGGTTACATCATTTTTAAAAAAAAAAAAAAAAACTCGCGTGATTCGGTTGCGAATTTTTGTGCGGGTTTATTTGAACAGTTGGTTTGCGGTACTTCATTTGCCAATTTCTTACAAAACAAAAAAAAACAACAGTTGTGCGAATCATTCAAACGGTTCGACTGCGAATCATCTATATTTTTTGTAGTTGATCTCAATTTCTTGCATCTGTTAACGAACATTAATAATGGAAGGAGATAAGATAGAGGGAGCAACATTTTTAAAATTAAAATGTTCACGTCTAGGAACACAACTAAAGGATTTGGAAAAAAGGTTGTCTGCTGAATTTTTGAGTAATTGCCATGAAGTGCAACTACAACTCTACATCGACTCTCTTCAACAACTCAACACTAAGTTTGACGCAGCTCAATCTAGTCTCGAACAGGAAGACTTCCATGAACTGGAAAGTGAGGTGCGAGATAACTTTGAACAGAAGTATATTGACATTAAATCCGCGATCATGATAGAGCTGTCCCATTGTCAAACGAATACCAGAAATTCAACTAGTAGATTTCTATCGAACGATGAGGCTCCTTCTATTAATGTTAAATACTCGCGTTCAAGGCTGCCAGAACTTCAACTCCCGACCTTCAGTGGTGACATCAAGTACTGGCAGCATTTCATTTCAATGTTTGGAACAATTGTTGATGAAAGCATTGAACTCAGCAATCTCGAAAAACTTCAGCACTTAAGATCTTGTTTGAAGGGCTCAGCGCTAGATACAATAAAGTCACTTGAAGCCAGTGACGCTAACTATGCTAAGTCACTTTTATTATTAGCTGCGTTTCAGCAAACATGATCCGTTCAATGATCTGAATCATCTTTGCTGAAACGATACGGATCACGTTTGAAAATAATTGGCAACGCATGAAATATGCCAGTTGGGTTTGTGTACAAAATTTTTTGATTTATGTGAAAAATTTTGGCGCTAAAAAAATAAGTGAGAAAATTTTGAATACAATAAATCTAAAACTTGGAAAATAAATAAAATCTGTTGAAATGTCTGAAGTATGAAATGTAAGTTTTTATTTAGTATTTACCTAAAAACTTAAATTTAATTCTATAGTAAATAAATGGAAATTGCAGATTTTATTAGAATTATCGAGCAAAACTGACTCCTCCATTTTCTTTTTAAACACTAGTCCAAGTGTATTAAGCTCAAGGGATGAAGTGCATCAGCATGGATATAGTGGAAATTTTATGGAAACGATCAATAATTGTTCCGTTAAAGATTATTTGATTGGTATTTGCGCATAAAAAATACAATTGCTATATATTAATTATGTTTCATATTTTAATAGATTTGTTAATAAAATCCAATCAGCAAATACAAAATAACCGTGGTGGTCACAATTGAACGAGAGCAATGAAGGAAATTTACATATTTTTGTGGTATATGGCAAATATAAATACTTTTCGCGAATTTGGTATTTGTTTTGGCATACCAAAAGCTTCTGTATGGAGAATAATTGAAAGAACTAGTGTTTAGCTTATATCAATTGCAAAATTTCCGTTCGTGATTGACAGCACACATGTTAAAATAAATGCACCTCACCATAGCAATTAGGCTTATTTCAAAAGGAAGCATGAATATAGCTTAAACTTGCAAGCAGTTTGCAATGGTTTTTTTATAAACGTGTATGTTGGAGAGCCTGTTTCCTTATTATTGTTCTGTTTTAATTAAATAAATGTATTCAACTTAATGTTTATATATTCATTTCAAATTAATTGATTTTCATAAATTATCAAACAACACTTTTTTAATAATAATAAAACGTAAATAATTAAAGTAATAATTTTAATTAATTTTAATAATTTTAATTTATAGTAATAGTAATAATTAAAACATTACTTCAAACAAAGAAATAAATAATAATGACATATTAAATAAATAAGTACATAAAATAAATAATAAATAAATAAAATCAATAATAAATAAATATAAATGTAGATTTGTTTATAATTTTACTACATAAAATAAATAATAAATAAATAAAATCAATAATAAATAAATATAAATGTACGCCGTTGTTGATCTGCGACGCCTTAGTAATAAAATGAATTCACACCTACATGCATTGAGCAAGCTGGGCAGCAAGGAACAAATTGCTGATGGTCTCATAGTACATCTTGTTTCGCAAAGGCTAGATCCTGCATCTCAAGCAAAATGGGAAGAAAAGGCTTCAATTGATGCAATACCTACGTGGGATCAAATGGCAGATTTTCTTGATAAAAGATGTAAAACTTTGGAGCATGTTGATTACGCCACGAAATTTTCAGCACATAACAAAACTAAGCAAATCAATCTCCATCCAATTGCCAGAAAAGTGTTCATAGCAACAAACTCAAAGGGATGTACATTTTGTGGAAGTGGTGATCATTTCATTTACTCCTGTTGTCAATTTACAAATCTTTCTCCAAAACTTCGTCTAACTGAAGCCAGAAAACTTAGCCTTTGTTTAAAGTGTCTAAAAAAGGGACATCAATTAAAACAATGCAAGTCTTCGTTTTGTCGTATTTGCTCAAGACCTCACCACACGCTCTTGCATTTAAATGATCGTATTAATGACAGTACCTTTTCTTCATCTAATGATGTACCAATAGCTAATCCGACGTCAAATACTAAATCTAAAGTGTAGGCTTACTTAGTTTCAACAAACGCGTCGCAACAAACCCAAAATTATCCTTCAAGTGAATGTGTGCTTCTTGCAACTGCAATCATATTAATAAGAAATCGTGCTGGCTCTTATATACCATGCCGTGCTCTTCTGGATTCAGCATCGCAATTACACTTTATTACAAAATCACTTGCCAACACACTTCAACTTAAAACAACAAAATGTGCCACAGTAATATCAGGTATTACAGATAGAGATTTTGTCGCTGACAACACTACTGAGTTATCCATAAAATCACGTTTTGGCAATTACACCAGTAGCATCACCGCAGTGATTACTTCTAAAATTACTAATCAACATCCCAGCACAAATGTTAATACAACTGATTGGAATATTCCAAAAAATCTTCAACTAGCTGATCCAGCATTCTATAAATCACAACGTATTGATATTCTTATTGGTGCAGCTCTCTTTTCGATCTACTATGTATAGGTCAAATCCGTTTAGCGCCTCAATTACCAGTATTACAAAAAACGCTTTTTGGTTGGGTAGTTTCTGGAGGTTACCAGCATTCTTCAATATCATCACTAGCCACATTTAAAAAGTCATCAATTCTGACTCATCTATAGTGTTATCCTGGATCCGATCTGAACCGTCTACCTTCAATGTATTCGTGGCCAATCGAGTGAGCAAAATTCAACATTTGACTAAAGGGATGACATGGCATCATGTTCCCACTGATTTAAATCCCGCAGACATCCTATCTAAGGGAGCGACTCCAGACGAACTTTTAACTTCATCACTTTGGCAATGTGGACCTCCATTCTTGCTTGGAGATCGAAACAATTGGCCTATGACTTATCCCCTGCTGTATGATTTGCCTGAAAAACGCAAGGCAGTTCTTATTTCAACTGTAAAAACAAATGACATTTCGATTAATTGGAAATTTATCAACAATTTTTACAAAATACAACGTATATTTGGGTATGTCCAAAAATTCATCAGCAAGGAGCGATCTACTATTTTAACAGCTAATAACATACAGCAAGGTACATTCATATTAATTCGAACAGTGCAAAAGGCGAATTTATGGAATGAATATCATAATTTGGAATGGAAAAAATCAATTAGTTGCTCAAGTAACTTATTCTCCTTAACTCCATTTTTAAATGATATTGGTCTACTTCGTGTTGGTGGACGACTAAAAAACTCTAACCTAGACTTTAATGCACAACATCCAATTATACTACCTAAGCATCATCCGCTCACTGTTTCAATCATAAATCATTTTCATCGCAAAATGCTGCATGCAGGTCCACAATCATTGCTTGCTTCAATGCGTCTTCAATATTGGCCAATAGGAGGTAGAAAGCTAGTATCCAAGGTCATCAACCAATGTATTATATGTTTCCGAGCGAAACCAATAACTGCAAGGCATATCATGGGACAATTACCAAAAGATCGTGTTCATGCTAATCGTGCTTTCATCATTACTGGCACAGACTTTTGTAGTCCTTTTTATTACAAGTCCGAAGTTCGCAATAAGTCTCCAATCAAATGCTATGTTTGTTTAATCATTTGTTTCGCGACCAAAGGTGTCCATTTAGAATTGGTCAAGGATTTAACAACATCAGCATTTCTAGCCGCATTACAGCGTTTTATTTCAACTCGTGGCAAACCAAAAATTATTTGGTCAGATAATGCTACAAATTTTTGCGGTGCCAAAAATCAGCTTGCTGAGCTCAGGAGACTTTTCTTTACTCAAAAACATCATGAGTTGCTTCACCATCAATGTCTCAGTGACAGCATCGAATGGAAATTTATACCTCCTGGATCGCCACATTTCGGCGGCCTCTGGGAAGCTGTCGTAAAAACAGCCAAATATCACTTTTGTCGAGCGGTTGGCTTAGCAGTTTTAGAATTCGATGAACTACGCACTTTGGTTTGCCAAATTGCTGCTATTATCAACTCTCGTCCACTCTGCCCGCTTTCAGAATGTCCGGAAGATCTTGATGTTCTCACACCTGCTCACTATCTAATCGGTGCCCCGTTAACATCAATCATTGAGCCTGACACTACGGTCTTGAATGTTAACCGGCTTGATCGCTGGCAGCGCATTTCATATATTCAACAAATTTTTTGGAAACGCTGGAGTACCGAATATCTTACACAGCTACAAGAGCGATCAAAAAGGCGAAGACCGACTCCAAATATATCACTTGGTGCAATAGTTCTTTTAAAGGATGACAATCTCCCACCATTTCGCTGGCCGCTCGGTAGAGTTATTGAAGTCATATCTGGTCCTGATGGTATCATTCGTAGCTCTGTCACGAAGCTCTGTATCTTGCCTTTAAATGTGTCTCTCGTGGAACGCGACCGTTCCAATGGGGGGAGAATGTTCGTGATTGGCTTTATATTTTTCTATTATTAATTTGGAATATTTTTTTATTTATTTTTTGGTTGCAGTTGGCAACCCTTTTTTATTATAAAATACTATGAAATTAAAAATAAAATTAGTCTCTTGTAAAAGTTCAAACGAGTCGGTCTTTCTTTAAAAACTTCGTTTTGTTTCCTAGTTTTGTTGTCGTTAGTGGTTTCAAAAACTCTTGAGGCCCCAACAGTATGTATATACTATTGTGCATTTTTTTGGTTCATCGCTTAGGTTCCGCTAACCTCCAAATAGAACTTCGTATCCGCATCAAGGTCGCGTTCGACAATTACAACTGTCCAATTTGGACATAAATATTAAGCTTATATTAATTTTTAGTATAAATAAATATCAATTAAAATAATTATTTGCATTGTATTTGTATTAATATTTGTATTATTTGTATTATTGTATTCAGTATATGTATAAATAAGTATTTTAAATTAGTGTCTTATGTTGTTTTGGTTGTTGGGTTTAGTTGTGTTATCAAATATTTTAGCAATGTTGCTGGCTCTCACAACTAAATATTCGCACGCTGTCAGCGTGCCAGACGTAACATGATGATCTTCACACGCCACTGTGCAAGGTTGATAGGCATCATGTTCGTTTTCTTTTATCGTGTGTTCGTTGTGAGTTGCAGCAATAGGCAAGCCGCGGCGACAATTCTGTTGTTCCCACAGGTGCAATATGAGTTGGCGCATGGCACAAGTGATAACACATTTAAGTCACCAAATTTGTGAAGCAAGTTGGTATATGGCAAAATACATATACCAGCTTGCTGACTGCATCAAATTGTATAAGCATAGGAAATGCACATATTTTCCACGAGTGCCCTTGGCCTTGAATGTTCAAAGTCCATCGGATAACAAATCGTGGGAACTAGGTGCATTTGCTCTTTTACCATAGTGTTATGCTTAGTGTTAAGCATTTTGTATAAAAACACAATATTTTGTAATAAATTTATTCATTCAATACAGAACAGCCCTTGCGTTTTAATTAGTTCAAGTGCTTATTAAAACTCAATTGCAAATAGGTTCATGTGCCTAGTTGCTCAAAAAATATTGTTATTGTTTGAATCCACCTGAAGTTGGTTTAAGTGCCAAATTCAGACCTTGCAATAGGAACTGGTTCAAGTGCCAGATTCCTAACCATAAGCAACACTGAATCGATTCAAGTGTCGATTCAGTTTCAATAAGAAACGACTTATTGAACATTTTTGGTGACCCCGACGTGATTCACCGTAAGGATCACGTTTTCATCAATCCAGTGAACCTGCTCAGAAGGACCACGTTATCATCAATCCAGTGAACCTGCTCAGAAGGACCACGTTATCATCAATCCAGTGAACCTGCTCAGAAGGGTATTATTGCTGTATTTACAACCATGGAAGTCATGGCAGAATTGATTGCCAAACAATCAGAATTGGGAAAACAAATCCAACAACTGATCACTAACTTCAAAAAGGACTCAAAAGAGAGAAAGACATCCCCTCGCTACTATGAAGAGCGTATTAGGCGACTCAACGAGTTATGGGAACAATTTGATCACAACGACACACAAATCAGGAATTTGCCAGATTTGGATACGAGCGTTTCATATTTTACCAACAACTACTTTCAGGAAATCAAGGGATTATTTGAAAAATATGAGCAGATTTTCGAAAATGAATTATCAACCAAAATACCTCCAACACCTTCCTCAAAGGAGTCAGCAACGACAGCACGTCAACCGATGCCGTCACCGAGGGAAGGACAATATAGCACAAGTATAACAAGAATGATACACAAGCAAGGTGCAATTTGTGTATCACTGAAGCGACTCATAGCAGGCATCAATCGCCAAACAGGCGTTCAGATGAAATCCTTTTATGAAGTGAATATGGGAAGAATTGAGAAGCTATGGAATGAGATTGAATCCATTAATTTTGAGATTTGGGAGTACACCAACAATCCGACTACAGTGGGATATAAACTCGATGAGTATCTCGAAATAGAAGAATTGGTTCAGTCAACTTTAATTTCGTTAGCTTCAATGAAAGCAAATAATGAACAATTACAACAAGGGATCAGTAAACCAGACAGCGCTGGGATATCACTGCCTAAGGTAACAATACCAAAATTCGATGGCGATTATTTGAAGTGGTGTCAATTCTATGATTTGTTCACCGAAATGATTCACAAGCAGCAGCTTTCTAACGCTCAAAAAATGTGGTATCTCAAAGGTAGTTTAACAGGAGAAGCAGAAGGTTTAGTCCGACACCTGTCAATAACCAACGAGAATTATCAAACGGCATGGAAGTTGCTACAAGAACGATATCACAACAAAAGAATTATTGTAGCAACAATCATTCAAAGAATTCTAAATCAACCAATAATATCAACCAATCCTTCAGCGACAGAAATAAGGACACTCCATGATGTTACTTTTGAAGGATTGCTGGCACTGAAGAATGTGGGACTCGAAACTGATTCATGGTCGCCGTTACTGCTTTATAGTTTGCTCCTCAAACTAGATAAGCAGACTCGTATTTTGTATGAACAGTCGCTGACTCATCCAAGAGAGATTCAGTCGATCAAGGAGTTCATGATTTTCCTGGAATCACGATTCCAGTCCTTAGAGGCGATTGGTCATAGGGAGAAGCCATGCTCAGCAAAAACCCTTGCCACAACGATGGGAAAGGCAAATATATCAACCTGTAAGATCTGTAATAATGGATCACATCCGATATATTATTGCAAAACATTCTTGCAATCAACACCACAAGGTCGTATCAAGACAGTACAAAAACTTAGACTGTGCTTGAACTGCTTACGTACAGGCCATAGGGCAGCAGAATGCAAAAGTTCCCGGTGCAACAAGTGCAGCAAGAACCACAATTCGTTGTTGCACTTATCAGAGTCTTCCAAGACAACACACAAATCGATCAATGTCAAATCAGATTCATTGGTTGAGAAACCTGGTCATCAACCTTCTACTGTAATCACAGCATTAACACAAAATAAGGGATACGTTCTTCTTAGTACAGTTAATATGAAAATAGCTACGTTTGATGGTGATTTCATCGAGTGCAGAGCAATACTCGATTCTGGATCACAAATAAACTTAATCACAGAAAAACTGGCAAGAAAATTAAAATTGCAGTTACACTCATCACCGTTATGGATAGAAGGAATTGGTAGAAGCAAAAGGGACACAAAATACAGTGTGACAACAAAAATTCAGTCTCGAATTAATGATTTCAATGTAAAAATCAACGCATTCGTGATGCCTCGAATTATCTCAGCCCAACCAACACAGTGTCTGGACACTTCTGGTTGGTCAATTCCTCAGAATATAAAATTGGCTGATCCAGACTTCGCGAATCCAAATCAAATTGACTTATTAATTGGAGCAGAATTCTATCACAGCTTTTTATCGATTGGTCAAATCAAAATAGGTGAGGGTCTACCTGTACTTCAGAACACGGTTTTCGGATGGATATGCAGTGGCAAAGTTAGCAACGGTAATCAAAAATTACTTACCTGTGGCATGTGCAGCGAAGCTGACGACGAAGCATTGGATAATATACTTACTAAATTCTGGCAATTGGAGGAAATCAATCAAACGGATGACAAATTCACTGATGCAGAAAAGAAATGTGAAAAATCTTTTGCTCAAAATACTCACCACAATTATGAAGGGCGATTTGTCGTGAAACTACCATTTAAGGAGGATACAACTGTTCTTGGTGAATCCATGCAGATGTCGATGAATCGGTTTTTTAGTCTTGAACGTTGGCTGTTGAAGAATTCTGAACTAAAGAAGATGTACGTTGACTTCATGCGAGAGTACGAACATCTCGGCCACATGGAAAAAATCAATCAGGATGATATAATGCATCCACATTACATTTTGCCACATCATTGTGTAATCAAGGCAGATAGTACTACAACAAAGCTTCGAGTGGTGTTTAATGCATCTGCAAGAACATCAACCGGAGTCTCACTCAATGATATCATGCATAATGGTCCAGTCGTGTAGAACGAACTCTCATCCATTTTACTGCGTTTCAGGAAACCACGCTTCGTTTTTACAACAGATATTGAAAAGATGTATCGGCAGATACTAGTTGATCCAAGAGATGAATATCTTCAAATCATTATCGGGCGAGAGTCACCAGAAGAAAACTTGTGCTATTACAAATTAAAAACGGTAACGTATGGCACAAGAGCAGCGCCGTATCTGGCAACTAAGTGTCTACAAACCCTGGCCAGAGAGCATGCCGTTAAATTTCCGCTACACTCAGCAAGGATTTTTATGTCGATGACGGTTTAAGTGGCTCAGACAGTCTCATGGAGGCAATTGCAACAAAGGATCAACTTATTAAAATATTGGCGACAGCTGGTTTCAAACCTCGCAAGTGGTGCGCAAATAATGCCCAATTACTTCAAGGACTCGCTCCAGAAGATCAAGAAGTGGATCTCGATGTCAGCAGTGAGTCACATAAGACAGTAAAAACTTTAGGCCTTATCTGGCTACCAAAATCTGATCAGTTTTCAATAAAAACTAACGGACCTATACACAGCAAAATAACAAAGAGGACCGTAAGTTCCGAGTTGGCGCACATTTTTGATCCACTTGGATTAATGGCTCCCGTAGTAGTGAAGGCGAAAATATTCGTTCAAAGATTGTGGCAGTTAAAACTTTCGTGGGATGAAGCTCTGCCTGCTGAAATGCATACTCAATGGACCCATTTTCGTCAAAGCTTATGTGAAATAAACAATGTGAAGATTCCACGACATATATTTCATCATAAACAACCAAGGAATACTCAGATTCATGTATTTACTGATGCCTCCGAAAGGGCCTATG